CAGGGCTGGAGCTAACCATGGGGAAACTGCAGACGGCCGTTATCGGGGTGCCGGCACGGACTGCCCTGGGGATTTGGGGACAAGGCCTCCTCCACAGGCTGATGCCAGCGCACCCTCCACCCAGCTGCGGTCCCCAAACTGGGCAGGTCACAGTGGGACACTGGGCGTGCAGGATGTCACCCCAATACCCAGAGACCCACACAACACCGCACTTGTCCTCTTCCTCCTCCTCCGCCCTGCCCGGGGCATCTCCCCCCGCTCCCCCCCAGCGTGGGTGCAGCACTGGGGAGGGACCCAGCGGCCCCCAGTCCTCCCAGTGCTCCCAGTGCTCGGGAAGTTCAATGCTGCCACCTGGCGGCGGCGGGCGGGAACAGCAGCCCCGGTACGAGCGGCTCCCGCCCCCCCCGCCCCGCTACCGGTCACCCCATCACACTAACCCCGCGTTACAAACCCTCCGGCCCGGGGAGGTTAATGGCAGATTAATTAACCCGCTTTCTCCAGGCGGGCGCCCGTCACGTCCGTGGGCTGCAAACACCCAGCCCAAGCGCGTGTTTGCTTCAAAGCGTTCGCAAAAACGCACAAAAAAATTCTAAAAAAATGGCTACAACGGAGCCAAAAAAAAATTGTTTCGGTTTGCCCACAGCTCAGCCTCAAAGCAAAACCCTGGAGCAATGGGGAAGCACAGGGCAAAGCTTAGAACGTCACCCCGATTTCAGGCAGAAGTTTACCAAGCGCAACTCCAGCGGCCGACAGCGCTCGGGTGGCAGGACAGCGGTGCCAAGCTGTGCGTGACGCAGGGCGAACGGCTCCCGGGCCCTCCCCAGCACCCAAAGCACAGGCTCCCAGCCAGGGTGCCGCGGCCAGGCTGAAAGCGCAAGCACACGCGTATGCAAGCAATCCTTTCCCGGGGAATTCCCGATCTGGCTGCACCCTTAATCAACACGGAGAAGCGCGGAGGAAGGATCTGCGAGCGACGCGACTCGGGACTCACCTTCTCAGCCTGGGGGTACCGCACACGGGGGCTGCCCCACTCCCTGCTGATCCGCCGCCGGTACTGGTGGCACCTGGGGATGTACATGCAGCCCACGTCACCCAGCTCCGGGTAGATAATTTCCAAATCCCCTCTGGGGAGAAAAGGGGGAGAGAAGAGCGTGGAGGGTGAGGTGGCACCAAGCAGGGGATGGGAGCGAATGCCACTTCCCAACCAAACCTCAGCCGCCGTTGCAACGCCGGGCAGGAGATGCAGGATCCAACCTGCTGTCACCAAAGGTGCTGGGCACCTTGTGCACCAGGATCAGCACCCTCCCATGCTGCAACATAACCATGGGGTCTGCTCCCTCTTCCAAGCAGCAACAAGAGTTTAAACATTCATTATAGCTCAGCACAACACTCAGGTTGTTCCCAGTGTTTTCCATAGTCCTTAAAAATTATGGCCCATAGGGGTTAATCTAAGGCTTGAAGATGGAGAGCAGGAAAGCAAGGCCACCCCCACTCTCCCTTGGCCCCAGACAAGCTGTTTGAGCTCTGAGCCCCCTTCTCCCGCTCGCAACGTGAAAGCGGGGACAAGCCTGCTCTGCGTTTTGGGTACCGATAGTGCAGTAACAGGTCAGGTACCTCCAGCTCCGGCTTTGCGTGAAGCGCTTCCCCCTTCTGCATCATCTAACAGAGAAAGGGGCCGCTGGAGCAAGCTGTCAGGTCACTGCAGCCTATGGAAAGCAAGTCTCAAGGTCACCCTGAAGATTAGGTGCCCCGGACCTGACCCTCGCAGGAGGGGCCCTTAAATCCTGTGGCCCGAGAAGCTGCTGAGCAAACGCCCACCCCGGCACGGGGCCGGCAGAAAGGAGGCTGAGGGTTCAGAGCAAGGTGCTTTGACCCAGCAAACCGCCTGTCTGCAGCTCCAGGAGAAGCTCCCCAGGCTTCCTCCTCTTCCCATGCCCACACCTCAAGCATCAGCATCTCTGCAGGACAGTCTACGAGGTCTGTGGGATGACCTGTTCTAGCATTTTCCTTCCCAAAAGTGGCCTCCTTCCCCTCGAACTTTCAACATTCGTCATCCCTGATGCTCTAAGGTGCTTTAAAAGCCTCTGCAAAAGGGACCAAGGAACAACTTGAGGTGACCAGAGACACCGAGATCTCAGCTTGCATAAAGCAAGAGCTGCACAGCGCAGTGGGCACTGCTCTGCTTCGCCCTGGCCCAGATTCCTGGCAAAAGGAAGAAAGCGACGAATATTTATAGCCCAAGCAAATGGGATACTGGAATTAACCGTCCCAGAAGGTGACGGGCAAGGGCAGCACATGACTGGGTGCCCAGGGCTGCGGCAGCTCAGGACGGAGGCAAGAGGGAGTCCCTCACCTGCAGAACTCGCTGTCCGCGCTGCTGAGCGTCTGGAAGAAGCAGGTCCGCGAAGGCTTGTCCGGCCAGGGGGGCTGCTCCCCCCGGGCAGCGGGGCCGAGCAGGGCGGCAGCCAACCCGGCACCCAGCAGCTTCATCCTGCCCTGTGGGGACCGAGGGACAGAGAGGGTCAGTCCCACGGGCAGAGCGTGACCCCGTGCTGCCCGCCCAGCACCTGCGGCATCCCCACCACCACGCTCCAGTTCAGCCCCCCCGCCGAAACCAGCTCCAGGCAAAGCACACCCATCCTTACACGCCGCTTTTTCCCCAATTCCACCAGTTCCACATCATTAACCCCAACTGTGCCAGAAATGAACTGTGTTTGCTGCTGCTGCCCCACGCCAGGAAACACCAAGCGCCCAGCGGGCTCGCAGCAAGACCCACATCTTAGAGGACCCTCTTGCCCACCTACAAGGGCGGTGCATCGCCACCCTCCTGCACGGCACCGGGGATGTGCACATATGACGTCAGAAGCTGGGCAGCACAGCCACGATCACCGTCACGGCGATCGCTCCGACGCCACGCTCCAAGCCCCGGCAGCGCCCAGAGGGGACAGAGTCCCCGTCCCCGGGTGCTGGCCCTGCTGCTCTCCCTAGGACTCCAACACGATGGAAAAGGTGACAAATCGGTATCAGGCTTGGCCGTGGTCTGACGAAGACTGTTACGGACCGATGCACGACCGGCAGTGACACTGACCCACGTCCCCCGGCCCCAGGGACAGTCTCCGTGGGGGGAGCAGTGCAGGGGCTCACCTTGAGCCCAGCCACCCCCTCCAGAGCCGGGGCCACCCATTTCTAAGTCTGTACAAAGCACAAGCCAAGCCCTGAGGATGAGGGGAGCCAGAATACGAGGTTTATATACCCGCAGCCCTGCCAAGCCCAGCACCAGCCCTCACCTCCCCGGGCTGCACCGAGGTGCTGGCAGCAGACCGACGGAGGCGGTGGCAGGGCCACCGGAGCCGGTGCCGGGGCCACCACGGCTGGCTCTGCCGAGGCACTTACCCGCCGGGTCCCGGGGATGGGCGAGCAGCTCCCAGGCAGAGCCTGGAGGTTTGAGGTTGCCGTGGAGATTGTTTCCCTGGAAGGAAGGGAAGAAGGGACCGACAATGAAACGCAGCCCCAGGGAAGGGGCAGCTCGTCCCCTAAAGGAGCATAAAGGCAGACAACAGGTTTTCATCCCACCCATCCCACAAAAACCTGCTCCAACTGACCCACCAGCTCCGGGTCCTCCCGTGGCCCTAATTCCCCCCTGCACTGACAACTTCCCAGTTAATTAGAAAGGATGCGACCCAAACATTTATTTGCACTAGCCCGTCTTCTCCATTGCCTAATCAGTTCTGGATGAGGCATATGCAAAAAAACCCACTGTCTGTTGGGAATAGGTATTACAACACATATTGTATCATTATATAATGAAGTGCCGGCACGCAGAGCGAACACGAGTAAGTACCAGCGCCGCTGTCATTAGAGAGAAAAAGGCATCAGGCTTAACTAATTAGAAACATTAATGTATTGGGAATGATCTGGAGCTTTAGGGGCTAATGGCTCCTGTTCCCACGCTACGAGATGGGCAAACCCCATAATTAGAGCCCTGATCCTGCAAGCAGGCTCACGTGAGTAACGCTTTTCCCATCGGAGTCAGGAGCGCCGGTTGGCGTGAGTCAGGATCACCAAAACGGGGTTTACATCCTCGCACGCCATCACGAGCCGGGGGGGGATAACTCGGCGTCCCGGGGGAGCCATGGAGGGGGATGGCAGCCCCAGGCAAGGCATGCCCAAGGGCTGTTAATCCAATCTGCTGCCCGTGGAAAAGTGGATTTCTTAGGAAAGCAAGACTTCCCTTGGAAAGCTGACAGCTCGGCTGAGGGCTTGGCAAGAGGGTGGCAGGCAAAGGGACAGTGACAAAGACAGACAGAGGGACTTGGACACCAGGAGAGCTGTAGACACGGTCAAGGGGCTCTTCCTGCCAGAGTGACTCTCCAAGGCTTGCGTGGCTGCAGCCCCGGCAGCTCAGAGCTCTAGGTCTGTCCCAGGGTAGCGTCGGCGCTGGGCAGTAACCCGCTCCAGCGGAGGTTACCCCAATAAGAGCGAAAGCCAGAGTTCAGAATACCTGAACAGGGGTATTTTACCTTATTTTAAGCCTAGAGGCAGAGAGAAGCCCTTCACACAGGGGCAACGTCAACCACTTCCATCTGGAGACCTCCCGAGAGGATCACCACGAAATGGGAGCAGCAGAAAAGGGTTTGCTGACAGACAAGGTGCAGAGGGATCCTCCAGAGATGCTCGGGAAGAAAACCCCTTGGGAGCAGCAATCTCTCCTGCAGCATCCTCTGTAAGACGAACTATGGCTTTCTCTCTAAAAAGCCATTTGCAGAGTAATTACTAAGATCCGATTTCTCCTGCTCAGAGGTTGCAAAGGCAGCGGGAAGCCCGTGCAGCAAGCCCCCGGCGCCCGGGTGTAAATGCCTGGGAAAGTCGCAGGGCCGGAGGCAGGCAGCAGCTCCGGCGAGGTCAGACGGGCTCCCGATGGGCACAAAGCCACCGGATCGTTTGCTTTTCGGCCACACGCACGGGACAGGGCGACGCCAGAGCCAGCAGCCCCGCGGGCTTCGCCCCGGGCC